TGGTTGAGAAGTTTTGGTAATCTCAAGCAGACATGGTAACATGTAACCTGTGGAAATGCAAATATATGATTTTTCTGTCTGTGCTCAGACAGCAGCATCTTATGAATGCTTTGTACTATTATGAGAGACTGAATATTCTTTCTGAACAGTTCATTTACTGATCATTTAAAAAGTGAAAAGAAAGGGTCTGTTTAGTTTTTATGAAAGCACATTAATAAAGAACACATGCTGGTTATATTTTGTCATAAAGATCAGCTTCTGGTTTGACAGGTCGACGACATCATGGAGTCAAATTAAGTTGTTATATCTGTGATATTATTAGTAACTCGGCTGCAAATATCCATACTGCCATGCCACATGAAAGTTTTACTGTCAGAACATTCACCGACAAAGTGTCAAAGAGCCTGGTTCTTTCTTCACCCTGCTACGCCTGACACCAGCGGGCGTTTAGCAGTGTGCAATAATTTAATGGGGCTTTGCTAGCCAAGGAGTAAGTCACTACTCTCAGCTAAGAAATCCTTACAGCATGCAGTTTCTAGAAAATAATCCATGCTGTTGTTTTTATATTTCTATTTGCATAAGCATTAAACAAACAAGATATATAAAAAGTAAACCACTCATGTCTATTAGAAAAATGTGCTGATACTTGTGGTGCTGCACCTCGACACTTCAGAGTAAACCAGCGGAGTTGTTTCTTCCCACTTAATGTGTTTGAAATTGAGATAAATATTTCCTGTTATTTTAATCTTTAATTCACAGTAAACCCACCTTGTACATTGACAGGGAAGGTGCTGGTGAAAAAGAAAGGCTGGAAGGCTGGCATGGCACCACCAGCCTGGCCGTAACTCAGTTGCTGCGGGATAGACTGCTGTCTGCTCACAGTCGGGTTTGTGCTGGCCACTGGGGCTTGGACCTGGCTCCCGCCGTTGCTAGCCAAGCTGGGACTGGGTGAGGCCAGTGGAGGCGAACACACGGTGCCGTTGTGCACCACTGTGTGCGGGTAGTCGGCGTGGTTGACAAGGTGAGGCTCGACTGATAGGTCCATGGGCACCGTGCAGTTAACGACAGTGTGACTGTGGGAAGCAGCCGTGCTGGGTGAGACACCGTTCTGCTCGTTCACAGGGATGAACTCCCCAGTCTGGGCTTGGCTGTGGTTGATGGTGGGATTTGAGGAAGGAGCGGAGGCATCGAAGACGAGTTTCCGAGGAGGCTCGTGTGTTGGTGAAAGAGATGCCGAATCACTCTGCGTGTCTTCAGCGTGCTCTCCAGAACCGTTTTGTGTAAGGTGAATCACCTCTGAGTTCTTGTCCATCTTGGAATACATAAAGGGCGGGTTAGACAGGTAGTTTGGGACGATTGGCAACTCGGGCTCCTTCACTTCAGGCACTTCCTCCACCTCAACTGTTGTAATAATGATCACAAAAGAGGGGGGATTATTTTCTGCAAATAGACTCGAAACAATAGCAAAGACTGCAGCAAATGCGTCAACACAAATACCCAGTGTTATAACTGATTATAGATATACACTTCACTCACTCAATTACACTTACAGATTCATGCAGTACTTTTATCTATGCCTAAGCACTTCCTAACATTCACACATTGATGATGCCCAAGAAAGCTTTAGCATGCAGATCAGAGGAGCCGGGTATCGATCCACTGAATCTACAACTGGTGGACAACCTGCTCTACGACCTGAACCGTAACCAGCCCAGTGTCACCAATGTGACACAGGGAGCAGCAGAGTGAGAAATGTTGACTTTACCTCCTAACAGTCTTTTGATCTCCGGCTTGGATGTCAGTTGTGACGCTAACTCATCCTTAGCTGTGAGGATGTCTTTGTCCGCTCCACAACTGAGTAAGTAGGACACTATGTGCTTGTGATTCCTCTTGCATGCCCAGTGTAAGCATGTCCTGCAGGGATTATTGGAGAAACAAAAGAATTTAGTGGTGTACAAAAAGAAAAGGAACAATAACAACAGAAATATACTGTATCACTCAAGTGGTACCACCTCTCATTAAGCTAGCTATAGTGTGTGGCACTGGCATACAAATGGAAAAATATAAATAATGTATATATTACTTTAAACTTTAACCAAAATCTCGACATAACTCTACTTGGTTCTTTACGGGTGCAAAGTAACTGATGATGGGCGCATGCGTGAAAAATGAATAATCAAAGGTTGGTTAGTGTTTCCGAACTCAGTAATCAGGCTATAGCAAAGAGAACAAGCTTGTGTTTGAAGCAGTGATGGGACGTTCTGTATCGAGGCTTCGGAGCGTGTGTCGAGTAATGGAGGGGGCGTTTCCGCGAAGCGCGTATCGAGGCTTGCTTCATTTATGGGAGGAGCTGAAAATGATGACGTCCGAAGCCTCGCTGCCCGGCTGTACCACGTGACTGGTTCATGAAGCGGTTCGAACTTTGCCGCAAATAATCATTTTCCATACTGCCAGCATAAATATACACAGTATACTGCCATCACTACAATATACATGTTTACACACTCCTTTTGTTGTTGACATTTACAGGCTGTGTGCAAAATGCCACACTCTTCAAATTCATGCCAGCTATTATTTTTACGTCCAGTAGGTGTCCTGCTAGAGCAAATGAAGCTTCAAGAAGCTTCGCGTTGGGGTGAACCAATTGGATGAAAAGCTCCAGTGCTTCATGGGGCTTCATCTGCCCATCACTAGTTTGAAGCAGCCACTTTACTCAATATTTTGCTTGATTGCTGGTTTTAAAGAAAAGCTAAAAGTGGCAGCGCCGGCTGATTAACAAGCCCTCTTTGGCGTAATAGGATAACGCTGAGCAGTGTTTTTAATCCCTGTAGCTTTGCTCTGCAATGACTGCACTCAACTCCTGGCCGGCTGCAGTCGCGACCGAACAAATACTACTATAAATCGGTGAAAACACTCACCATCCGTTGATTTCGTTTTGTGAGTTGACATTAACCCCACTCTCCACTAACGCCCGCACTTCATCGATATCCCCGATGGCAGACGCCTCTCTCAGCTGCTCCTGTAGCTCTTTATCCAGCGAATTTGTGGACATTTTTGGTTCACACGGCTAGCGACGTGCGCTCATAGGACACGCAAAGACCACGCGAATTATGTTGCCAATACTAATTAGCTAAATATACTGGTTACAGCTAGCATTAGCTACCAGGCTAACCTTACCTACTGGCTAGCTCGACGAGGTGCTAGCTTATGGCAGCAAATCGCTTTGGCTATTTCAACTACGTGTTGACCGTCTCTGGCGTTCACACGTCAAGCCGTGTGCCCGCCGCGTGTTTCTGCTGTTAGTTCGCGTTACAGTGGCACCGCATGCACTCGCTATAAACTCATTCAATCAAGCAGTAGTGTCAGAGCTTCGTCGATCCACTGCCAAAAACACCGCCGCCTCATCGGGGGGGGGGAGCATCTTTAGATGTGACAACAGTGAGCACGAATGTTAGTTCCCCTCCGAGGAATCGCGTAGCCAGTGCGTTTCCCCACGTAAATTGTGTGATACTGCCGTTAGCTGTCATGAATAAGGAAATAACTGGGAGATAAAAGTTCAAAGTACTTTAACTGTTTTTGACTCACACGTGTTGCAGACAAGCTGGAATAAACCTCCCTACACTTATAATACCCAGTCCAGAAAAAGCTAAAACAGCTGTTGATTATTTGTCCCAAGCACACCTGTTACTTTTGTTTTTATATCCGTTTTAATAAAGTTATAAATACTGGTTTTAAACTTGCAGTACATTTTTATGCTGCATTTCTTCAGTATGCCACTAGAGGGGAGCAAACACCCACGATACTACACTAACTTGAACTTTGGCGTAAGATACACCGGGGATACTACAGCTGCAAGGCAGCAATTTTAAAGAATCACAATTTCAGACTCTGTGAGTGGCGAGGGAAACTGCAAGAAGACGAGAGGAAAGAAGATAAGGAGTCTTAGTGGTAAAATACGGAAGTACGAGAAAGCATTTAAAGGAAGAGGTTAGCAAAGAAAAAGTAGACATGAGTACTGGGAGGCTGGGTGTACAGCAAAGAGAAGTGGCAAAGGAGAATAGTGGATTGTATGTAAGGCTCTGGACACTAATATGACCCATATAACCACCCTATAAAAAATTTTTTTGAGGCACTACTGGATGTAAAAAGATGCAATGCTTGCTCTGAGTGTTGCTGTAGAGGTGCATAGAAACTCAGAGGGAGTTGAAATGAGTTACTAGATGGTAGTAAGACCTGTTATGATGTATGGTTAAATGAAAGGAGAGGAGGCAAAGTTACAGTTCATAGATGGAGTGAAGGAGGACATGCAGACGGTTGGTGTGACAGAGGAAAACTAAAACACATTGGGGACATTAACAGGAAATTTATGTGGACTTGCCTTAATAAATATTTGGTCAGCACGGAAGTCACAAAAGTATGCATTTATTAATCATTCCTGGCAGTAATCAGATCTGGTAAAATCTGCATCACTGAGATAGATTTTGATGATGTCATAGCACTGCAACTGTGAAATATGCAGTCATAAAGCTTCGCGTGTGCTTGTTGTGATCAACATTCACTGAGTTTGACGTTTTTAGTGTGACCGATGGGAACTGAGTAAAAGCAACAAGTAAACATTATATATTACAGTATCAAATAAAGATCCAGTACTAGTGGAAAATAACATTAGTCTGAATGCCCTTGTGTGATAGCCTCTGATGATATTTTTCACACACCACCATAATCTGGCTCTTCAATGTGGCATTTGTCTTCAAGAAACTTAAAGAAGTCCAGACGGTTTTCTTTCCAAGCTCATCAGACTACTCTGAAGTTGCTTCCGTTGTAAACTTTCAAAATAAAACAAGGTATAACCATACGCAGTGCCGCAACATCGGCTTCTGGTCAAAATATAAATAGAAATTGCACATTTTGTCCGTTTTTGATCAATGGTAAAGTTTGCGGCACGAAACGGAGAACTGAATCCTGGACACGATGGTCAGACTAGTACTTCCGGTTCAGAGGCCGCGGGAGCAGCTCCTGGGCTAGTTGTATTCGGACTGTTAGCGGGCGTTGTTGTTACAAGGTCTGCCATTTTGATTAGAAGTACTTCGCGCAGCAGATGGTGTAAATTGGGCCTTCTGGATATTATTGTAGTACTTTAAATTAAGGCTACATTCCTGCAGGAATAATGCTTTCTGCCGCCCAGTTACTCGACGAGTTGATGGGTCGAGATAGAAACTTGGCCCCTGATGAGAAGCGGTCTAACGTACGCTGGGACGACGAGAGCGTAAGTTAGCATTCTAGCTACCATTAGCTTAGCTAGTTTTAAAACCTATTAGCCGTGAGGTGTCCAAAGTAAGCGTGCATGGCGTGCGCGGTGGGTACCGGCTAGTTTAGGCGGTATGGCCTCCAAATTAAAAATTTTCGATTCACGCACAGAATCGATGGCGAAAAGCGGGCGGTTTGAGTCAGTGGTGCTTGAGCACGCGTGTTAGCGAGATTAGCATCACGGTTTGGTCATTCTTAAAGGGTTTCATTGGGCTCACTTCAGTTTTAGCAACTTGTTTTCTAGGTATAGTTGAGATAATAGTTTAACTGTGTTAATACAAATGATTTCGACGTGCTAATGTGTGAAAGGACCTGCATTACGTTCTCTAAAGGTTATGCTCTGCTTATTGCATAAACTGGCATTGCGATGTCTCAAGACTAAATACAGTTACATACATGTTGCTTTGTATGTAATTTGGCATTAATATTTAATATTAGTAATAAATACTGTTTTCCATGCTGTTGTGTTTTTGTTGCACTTGCAGTGTTGTGGGTATTTTTTGTGTTCTTAGTTCAAGCAGAAATTGATTAGGTGAATTTATACGACTACCACATTCATTTGCTCAGTTGGTGTAAGTAACATGCTGTCACTTAATCCAATGTAATCTACTATGGAAGCAAAATTTACATAAAATTGTTTGATATGTTTTCTTTTATTAAGGTCTGTCGGTACTATTTGTGTGGCTTCTGCCCTGCTGAGTTATTCACAAACACCCGCTCTGACTTGGGTAAGTTGGGAACTTTGTATTCCCAAAATGTATTATAATCTGGACAAAGCCCTTGAGATTTAACAAACAACTATTCGACAATAATATGTTTATTGATTTGGGTTTCCAGGTCCGTGTGAGAAAATCCATGATGAAAATCTTCGAAAAATGTAAGTTCTTATTTTGGCTTTTTTTCCTTTTTCTTTCCGTTTTTTTTTTTGTTTGTTTGTTTGTTTGTTTTTTTGGCTTGATATGTTACACATAACTAACCAATTCTGTGTTGTTATATCCAGGTATGAGAAAAGCTCTCGCTTCATGAAGGAAGGTTATGAGCGAGATTTCTTGCGCTATCTGCAGTCACTCCTGGCAGAAGTGGAGCGGCGGATCCGCAGAGGGCATGCCCGGCTTGCGCTTTCCCAGGCTCAGCAGAATGCAGGGGTTGGTGCTTTTAATTGAGAACATCATTCTCAAACTCTTCTGTGCATCTTCATGTTTTCTCGGACCACAGTGCAAGTTATGAATCTAAAAGAAAATAACATTACCTGTATGTTTCTGCTTAGGATTCATTGAACTTAATTGTACTCATGTATTCATTCTGTAGGGCCCTGGTCCATCAGGAAAGAATGAGGAGAAAGTCCAGGTTCTAACAGAGAAGATCGAAGACCTGGTTGTGCAGGTTTGCCCGAAATCTTTAAATTGGTAGTGTTTGAGAAAAACTGAAAGATTTGAACGCGGGTTGGTCTTCTTGCATCAGGATATCTGACGGTCTCCTACAAGTTCCTCTTCCAGTGCCTTGCTTTAGGGTTTGTCACAGTGGAACACCTGCCTTCCTCTGACCTTATTACTAGCATCCTCCCCTGTCACGCTAACTCTCAGCATGTCCTCCTCCTCTACATCTATAAGTCTTCCTTCCTGGGTTCTCCCAATGAATATTTCAACATCTTTAACTCAGCCTCCTTGAGCTCTAAACTGAGTTTAACTCATACATCATAGCAGGTGCGACTACCAGCTGATAATCCTAACCCTTCACTCTAGCTGCTATCGTTCTGTTACAAATCACCCCTGACACTCATTTCTACCCACACCTCCCTGTCCGCACTCATGTCTTCACCTCTCTTGTGCGGTCTGCATTACCTCGGCTGGTTTACCACATATATTAAAACTCCTCTAATTTAACTCCCTCTGAACCTCTGCAGCTTCACTGTTCGACCAAAATTTGTGAATTTAGAAGGTGTGTGGAGTGCATGGCTAACTGTACATGCATTTGAAAAGAAGACTACATTAGAGTACAAGTCTGATAAAGGCTGTCCTGTCAGGAGGTTCATTGCTACCCAGCCTTGTGCAGTTTCTCTTTAAATTAATTGAATAATAAACAAATGTAATCTGTGGAAGGAGATTTTGAACCCTTTGGCAAAATAAGGAAACATGTTGCTGTTCACACTGATCTAAGTGTAAGCTGACTTCAGACTTGAAAGCATTAAAACAGGAACAGCTACCTGTTGTGACCACAGTTGTTTTTGTGCATGCACTCTAGACTGTATGACATTTCAGATGCTTTTCCCTGACTGTGTTACAGATCACATTATTTAAAATAAAACTCCCTAAATTCTTATATGCACTCCATAAATCAAGTCGTGACATTGTAACATGGCTTTTGTCTTTTTCTCAGATTGAGGAACTGGGCTCTGAGGGCCGAGTGGAGGAGGCCCAGGGAATGATGAAACTGGTGGAGCAGCTGAAGGAGGAGAGGGAACTACTCAGCTCCACCCCCTCGGTGAGTCAGTTTACCCTGGGCTAATCAGCCTACAAACACAGCTTAAGATAGCATAACATGAGCATCACCTACTATCAGTCAGTTAACATGAGTTTAATTCCATTTCAAATACAAGTTTAAACCCAGCCGGTGAGCTAAAAGTTATTTTTCACTGTAGCTGTATTTGTTATTAATACTCGTAAAGTAAAATCTGTGCGAGCTGGGCAGGCAGCTATGATGCAAATCAGAAATGTTTCCTTATTGTTTGTTTTGATGTCTAATAACAAATTTGTCCTTTCAATCCAGACCATCGAGAGCTTTGCTGCCCAGGAGAAACAGATGGAAGTGTGTGAGGTGTGTGGGGCCTTCCTCATTGTGGGCGATGCACAGTCCCGAGTGGACGACCACTTGATGGGGAAGCAGCACATGGGCTATGCCAAGATCAAATCCACTGTAGAGGAGCTCAAGGTGACAAACTTGAGCTGCTTGAAAGAGTGTTTCAATTCAACCATGCTTGGTGTTGTTGTTTAAAAATGTCTGCAAATGTTAGAAATTATATAATATGTAATGTTTTTGTATTCTCAGGAAAAACTGCACCGTCGCTCTGAAGACCCTCAGGGTGAAAACCCAGCCCTCAAAAGAGAACGAGAAGAGCGGGAACGGGAGAGGGAGGAAAGGGAGAAAAAGCGCAAAGAGGGGGAAGAGAAGGAGAAGGAGCGCGAAAAAGAGCGAGAGAAGGAGAGGGAACGAGAGAGAGAGCGAGAGCGTGAAAGGGAGAGAGACAGAGAAAGAGAGAGGGAGAGAGAGCGGGACAGAGAAAGAGAGAGGGACAGGGAGAGGGACAGGGACAGAGAGAGGGATAGGAGGGCACGTCGAAGCCACTCTGGCAGCCGCCACTCCAGTCGAGCATCGGACAGGAAACGGAGTAGATCCCGCGAGCGCCGGAGGTCCAGGAGCAGAGACAAGGACAGGGAACGCAAACGTAGCAGGTACGACTGACCGGACTGAGCGTTGCACTTGGATTTATAGTCACGGAAATGTCACACATAAAGCAGAATCCAATGAAATGTTACAATTTAAAACATGAGGGATGATATATTTATAATTCTGAATGATTATTTTCTCAAAAATCATTTTAACCACAGCACTTTTTCTTGCCTTTTCTGTAGGAGCCGGGACAGAGAGAGAAGACGCAGCCGTGAACGCTCCGACAGGAAACGCCGCTCCCGAAGTCGTGACAGAAGGAGATCGCGTAGCTCAGAGCGCAAATCTCACCGCCACCGCAGCCGTAGCCGAAGCAAGGACCGGGACAGGGATCGGGAAAAGGAGAGAGACAGAGAGCGGTCATCAAAAGACAAAGGTACCGTCTGATTATTTTTGTGTTTGTTGCTTCCTCATCATCCGCTGTCCTTCCAAACAATATATGTTGAATACCATCCCTCCATTTATCTGTGCTCTTCCACTTATCTAGTTCAGGGTTAAAATGGGGGGCTGGAGCCTGTTTCACATGGTGAAAGGCAGGTCTATATTAGGAATACCTTGAAAGAATTTCTTCAACACTGGAAAAAGCATTTTATTATGCATCCAGGTAAAAGTCTCATTGAGATGGAGAAAAAAATCCTAGTGAGACTTTTGGCTGCTCTCAATGAGTCACAATGAGTAGCTTCACATATTTGATTTGGCAGTTTTTTATGCGAGTTGTCTTCTACCCGAAAGAGGTTTGTGTCTCTTCCCGGGATCAAACCCCAGATTTTCTCCTTGTTAGGTGAATGTTTAAACCACTACACTGTGGAGCAACTAATTTTAAAAATGTATCAATATGAATTTAAAAGAAACCTATTGTAGTTTGAAATTATGTTACATAAAGCACTTCTCACAAAGCACTTGTTATGTATCTTTTAGACTACATGAGCGGTAATTGTACAGTCTCCCTCTTTTGTCTGTTTAGGACAGTATTCCATAAATGAGAAGTAGTAGGATTACTAATGCATAATATTCAGGCACAGATAATTTTGCTAATGCCAATAAAGGGCAGTTTATTTGGTGCTTACCCAGACAACCTACTTACACAATCAAGCTGTTCCCATAAGAAGTCCTGCAGCAGTCTGTACCCATAACAAATGAAAGAGGTGAGCCAGAGCTCGACACAATCCTACTGAACATTTGTGCATCAACAAGCACCTGTTGAACTCTTTAATAAGACAGTTTAATCTGAGGTTGTGCAAACATTTCTTGCTAATGTGTGCAATGTTTTCTCTTTTGTTTTTCTTCAGACCGTAAGGGTACAGAGGAGAGGAGCAGCTCTAAGAAAGACAAGCACTCAGACGGAGATGCAGCCGCCATCAAGGCTTCTTCAGAAGCGGAACCGATGCAGACGGAGGCGGCTGCCTTCTCCCCTCTGCTAAACGGCCAGCAAGAGCTCCTCCATTCTGAAGGTGACACTCAGTCCAATTAAAACTGATCTGATAGGACCTCAGATCAGGCTCAGGTAAGTGCGTCCTCCTCCTCACACCTCCCCTGGCTCTCAACCCAACCCCCTCCACCCTCCCCTCTCACGTCCCCTCCCCTACCCACCTTTCCCATCTCCCTTTACCCACCCTCTCACCCCTGCTCTCCCACCCTGTTTATGTTCAGTTCAATGCCTGTGATTTTGTCTTATGTACTATATGCAAATATCTTTATCCTGTTTTTGAATAGTGCATCATAAGTATGCACTGAAGATGAAGGACTAGGCCCGATGAATGAGAAGAAGGTAGAAATCATTCACACAAAGCCAAGAGGGAAAGGCCAGTGTAGTCCTGAGCAAACATGCCCAGAGGTACCCCTCGTTTTGTATCGGTTTTTGATCCTTATAGATGTATATTTGTCTTTGTGGACAAAATGGCAGAAAAAGTTAACGCATCCAGTCAAGATTTCCTGCCTGTATTTACTTGTTTCTTTTATTTATTTATTTTTATATTTATTTATCTTTTGTTTTTTTTACTTTGAAGTAGCAAAATGTAATAATTGCTATTTGTTGCTGTAATAATCCATATAGGGAGGAAAACCAGTCACTGTGTGTGTACATGTTTCCATTTAAAAACCTTGGCGTTTTCTCCTGCTCATATGTAAACGCACAGGTGAACACACAGCCTTGGTCAGAGGTTTTTGGTTTTTTTTGTCACAAAGAAGCTATTTATTTTGCCATATTTATAACGCAATTGCCATGGAATTGTTGTCCAGCGTACTGTGCCTGATGATGCCATGCCAGTGTGTGTTTGGGGGGTGTTAAAGCACCGGGGGTCTAACGTAACCTAACTAACTGGAGGGTAGGGTTTATCGAATGAATTGCAGCTGACTTCCATACCTCACACAGCGTTGGTGTTGTGAGCGAGACCACATGAGAAAAGGGCAAATTAAAAATCATGGATACTCTCTGACTCTCAAACTGTGCAGGTACTCACCCCAGGTACTCCTTTCTCTACCCACATCCATTTCTGAATGCTGTTGCCTGTCAGGAAAAAAAAAAAAAAAAGCAAATTGTGTACTTCTCCAGAACATGAACTTGAAAGCTTGATTGTGTCACATATACTTTTAATTGTGCCTTCTTTGTTTTCCTATTTGTTAACTTTCAAACATGTTTGGGGAGAATGTGCGATAGGATTGTCAGAGAGACACAGATGCACAGACAGCCTGCCTCATATTCCTTTGCCAAATTGGAAATCGTTGCTGATGTGTGCTTTTCCGCAGTGCTTCGTTCGTGTGTTTTTAAAAATGTAATTTGCTCAGGTGTTTGTAATTTTACACTTAAAAAAACATATCAAGTGCATTTCCTCTTTGGCAAAGCAGATATTGTAGTTTTGACACTAAGTTCAGGTTTAGACTTGAGGCAGCTCCTGAAGAGCTTCTTTAAATTGCAAACTTGTGCAAAATGTACAGAAAACAAAATAATCTCAGGGAATTTTGGCCAAATGCAGTCAAGACTTCAAGTGTCTGTTGTGCTAGTAAATGGATAGCTTTGTGCATTATTAGCAGTGTCTCTTGAGGGAAATTTGACTATCAAATGACTTTGTAAATTGTTGTTGTTTGAGTGGCAGCAGTCGTTGCTACAAGCGGATGTTGTGGGACCCTGGCTAACATCGCATTTTGTGGACGTTTCTTTATGCTCAACAGGGGAAGCTGGAATATCTGGTTGAGGAAGAAGTTGAAGAGTGCACCCATCCTTACCCTGAACCTGATACTTCGCTGCTTAAAAACAAGGTGAACCACAAATGTGTAATGGCTTATTTAAAGAAACATGAAAATAAATAAAAACGCGTAAAAATGAGGAGAAAGGACAGATTGCATCGATTTTTCTTGTTCCATTACCTGTCCATCTTTTGGCTGGATAAGGATAGTTGTGGTTCATCTGTTTATCTGATTTTACTGGTCAAGATGTCAGCCAGACAGCACTTAACAAACCAAACTTAGAGAAACTCTTTATGGATTTTTGTTTTTTATTTTGAAACTCTTTCCACATCCTCCGTGTTTCTTGGCATTTAGTGAAAATAAAATAAAATGAACAGTGCTTGTGGTTTGTATTGATTTGTCAGGTTCTACTTCACTTCCTGACCCCCCTTCTTTTCTTTTTTTTAAAGTCAGTTGAAGCGTATGTACAGTGTTAGACCTTTTGAGACAAGCAGTGTCTTCTTTTCTCCTCTACTTTAGAGCTCATTTTGATCGCTCTTGTTCCATAACTGTAAAATACTCTGATTTAATTTTGATCAATTTTGGAGACTTAATTTGTTTCTTTTTTTGCCCTGCTTTTATTGTCCATGTTGTACCACGATGAATAAAAAGCAAAATCTTGTCAAGGGTGTTTTGTTTTTTGTTTTATCCAGTGTGGATATGTACACACAAACTAGTCCCGAGTCAGTGGCAGAGGTAAAAACAGACAGATGTGCTTTCACCACCAGTGCTGCAGTCTCATTAGCATGTTTGATCTGCAGCTGGATTTACATCTTTTTTTTTTTTCCCAAATATTTTTTCACTGACGGTTTTCCTAGTGAATTGTACCATCTGCCAAATACAACGTGAATATTTGATCAACATCCAATGTGTAATTTAAGTCTTCCCATAATTACTTTGATCAGTTTGTGTGAATTCAATAGGCTGCTAAATCTTTTATTATCAAAGTAAGAAACTTTTAATTTGGTTCATTTGCAGAAGCCTTAAAATCAGCTGTTTTCCAGTTTGCATGGGTTTAGATGGTCCATAGAAGACGGAGTGGCCTGCATGTGGTTATAGCTACTGTTTCAGAGCTGAGCTCAATATTTGTTATATTTTTAATATGCTTCATAACTGTAAACAAAAAAAACAACAGAATTCCTGTAATCCAAAGTTAAAGTACCAAATAATTAATAATTGAATTCGGGTGTTCCAATCACCTCACTGGCTACACCCAGGCATGAAGGTGCTGCAATGATTTCTGCGAATGTGTCCAAAAGAAAGGCTTTGTGATGAACTGGAGACTAGAACCAGGACGTATCATCCGACATCAGTGGCTGACCTCACAAATGTGCTTCTGGAAGAATGGTCAAAAATTCCCATAAACACCCTCGTAAAAAACCTTCCCAGAAGAGTTGAGGCTGTTGTAGCTGTAAGGGGTAGGTCGACATCATATTAAACCCTGTGGATTAAGACTGGGATGTCACTCCAAGTTCATAAGCTTGTGAAGGGAGAACTCTCAGAAATTGATTAGCTTTATTTCCAAATAACGCTAAACTATTAATAAATGTGATTTTGTTGGTGGTTTAAGCAGCACTAGCCACTTTTTTAAATGCTTCCTTGAGAAAACCGATTCCTGCAGATTCCTGTCTGTGCAAAATCAAACGTAAAATGTATTCTGTGCATTTCTAAGAATCACCTTTGAATCATACTTTCACCTTGCTCAGCAGTAAACTGCATATGTTGTGCAAGGTCCAGTAAGTCTATCTGTACACACATTAAAATCAAAAATTGTCCCTCCAGATAGCTTTGAGTTCATCTTTTCTAATCAATACTGAACAGACAGCAGAGGCATTCTGATACTGCCAACTCAGCAAGCAACGCAGATGCTGGCCAGAAGCCACCTGCCTGGAACGACCAAAGTGGGGGAATAAAAGAAAATGTTGATTTATTAGCAACTGCAAACGCCTCTTGCTCACTTTTACATGTCACAGAGATCTATGATTTGCCCCCTTCTCAATAATGAACATAGCCATATATTAGTTGCTAGGACACCAACACAAATCTATGCACATTGTATTTACCTGAGCTCATAATGTCATGCAGAAAAAAAGGTTTCACTCATTCCCCCATGCACGTCCATGTCGCTCACAGTGCCCACAGGTCAGGCGTGTTTTGCATGGAAATGACCTTTCCAAACCAGGTGCCTGTAGAGAGAGTGGCAGGGGTTTGTCACAGTTCATTTGAGTCTAATTCCTGTATACAGGTCGCCGAACAGCCGGGGGGGTTGTATTACCCATACCCTGCAGATTCACCACAGTCTGGACTCGAGCCAAGAAAGGAAACAGCAGAAATGGATTAAAATGGTTGTTATCCCATCTGCTGTTACAAAAGCACAACATGCTACAGATTAGCAACATATCAAAACAAAGACAATGGTCTTAAGCAAGCTTACCCTCGTGTTAGAAGTGATGGTAATGAGGCTTGACGAAAAAATCTTCCTGTGATTGATTAAATGTCTAAAACTCATCTCAGTTCATCAAAATTACATATTTGGATTTTTTTGCCCCCCCCCCCCCAAAAAAGGGAAATGATTCATTCAAATAGCTTAGATGTAACCCCACATCACTGCCTCATTTAGTATGTGCAGGACTATAAATATGCAAATTAGTCGCAGCCTTTCCTTCCCTTTCCCTGCAGCCTGACCCCTCTCTGACTGTCTTTTTGAGTACCAATGTCTCATATGTTCTCGTGCTACAGTGAGAGAGGAAAACCCAGTTCTTGCTTTGCAAATTAGGAGAGAGTTAGTGCAGCGGAGCGAAAAAACTTACAGGACAGAAAGTAGTAGTAGTAGTTAGTCTCTCCAAACAAGTTCATGCAATTAGAGGTTTTTATGTATTAAAACCCTGGCTCTCTGGGTCATAGTTCATGAGCGCATAATTGGTACGCACTGCTGTTTTAGCTCAAAAACGCAAAACTTATGGAGATGCTAACAAAGGTAGACACTTGATTTTGTAGACATGTAGGTGGTCTTTGACTACAGGTTGCAGATGTGAACTTTATCTGTCATAAAGTGACCAGTTTAGCAAGAGAGCGATCAATAATCGGATCCTCATTACTCAGTCAGCTGTGTCCAGAGCTGCTTCCCAGAGAAAAATGTGGTTTGGCTAATCATGTATTTGAGTTGAGTCTATTAGAGTTCAATATGCGTTTGAAAGGTCATAACCAAATTATAAGTCAATTACACATGACCATGCTTGATTGTTCACCTGAACCGGCCCCAGCTGTGACCTCTGATTCTGTCGGTCTCGTGTGACTGCTCAGCTTCACTGCATGTTGCTGCCTGAGCCTTCTGGCTCTGGGTGGCCTCACCTGTCCCTGAACACCAACGCAGCAGGTGGGCTTCATGTGGTCTGTTGACTTCTGGGACTGATACCGGAATATAAAACAATGGCCCGTGAATGGGAGAACATACTTAGGAGAAGCACAGAGCTTCACATAAGGGAGCGACCAATAAGCATGGTTTATTTTTCTGTACATGCAACTTTGAAAGTTATTTTATAGATTAATATAGTGAAGCACTAGGCTTTTGCCACGCTGAACAGCAGGAGGCAGTATTTAGCTTTTTTTCTGAATGGCTTAAACTGCAAAATGTGTGAGGAAGTTGCCTCACAGCATTGCAGATACAGTATTATATATCAGACATGTTGTGTCTATTATTGCATCCCAGTTCATGCAGGAGCGGGGAGGAACACCAAGAACAGTAAATTCTTTGAAACAGTGTCACACTGAGACAACGCTGCCATCCCACTCTCTGCAACACAATCTGCACGTCATTAGCAAAGCAGTATTTCCCCAGGGTAAGAGTTAGAGCAAAAAACAGGCGAGGGAAGCAACAACAGGAAGATAGTGAGCTGAAAAGACAGGGGAAATTGAAAAAGTGATAGAGCAGGAAACAAGGAGCGAGTCAGCCTGGTGTGATGTTAAATAACCTGGTTTAAAAAAAAGAATAATGGAGATAGATTGTCTTCTCTTTTCCCTACTTTTACTCTCTTTCACATAGACAGCCGGTCGATCCGAAGTGAAGGTCGAGGGGGAAAGCAGCACATAGATTATGCAGCAGAGCAGGCAATTCATCAGCGCTGTTGGCATGCTGTCTGATTAATAATCGAAACTGCAACACGCGCTCGCAGCTTATGTCAGCTGTCAGTCATGTCCTTAAGGCATCTGTCATTTGTGCTGAACTAATGCCAACTGCATACTTCTTGCACAACTGTGGCACCACCAATCCAAGAGGAGTTCAGCAAAACTCTGAAGGTATACAGATATTTTTTTACACGTGCCAAGTTTACATTTGTCTTGCACAGCAGCTTTGAACAGAACAACAACCCCATGTGGTTTTTCATACCCAGACCAACAATCAGTATTTCCTTGCTATTAAACCCAGTGTCCAGTGGCTGTGTGTCCTCTGTAGCAGTATCAGACAGAGGTGGGCGGATCAATCCCAGTATTGATAATATTGATACCAATGCTGATATTGGTATCAGATCAATACTAGCATGATAAGTGCAGTATTTAGCCCACTGAATTGTGTGAAAAAAAATACCTCAAACCCGCACTATAAAAAATGTCTGAACCTTTTTGTTTTTACTTTCATGTGTAGTTTATTTATATGCTACAGCGCATTTAAACAACACAAGCTGACCCAAAGTCCTTCAGTGACAGGCATATTTACATTTTCAGGACTCCTAAAAACCCACTTTCAAAATAAGTAAAATTTAGTGTTCATTAAAATACATCTAGATTCATCTCATTAATCACGACACACTGCTTTCCCCTACATACATATTTATATCAGTCCTGTATTTGTTCAGTATCGGATCACTACCAAAATTTGCAGTATCGCACAGCACTAGTGTGACATTTCTGAGCTACCTGGTTCTCCTTAAGAAGGAGCATACTATACATATACGCCACATGCTTGTATGAAGGTGGCTTTTGAATGTGATGCACAGGAAAGATGTAGTTTTTTGGAAAAACTGCCTTGCCTTAAAACAAAATAAATCTCCAGGAGCTCAGTAAAAACCTTGGCTCCTGCCTCAAACAGTCTTGTCTTAAACAAGAAAGACTTTTCTTTAACAAGAAGCATAATTGTTATGCCAGCATGGACCCACACGGTCTGTCTTCTAGTTTGCACTCTGCACGGTAAAGGTTAGGTAAGCCTGCTGCAGATTTGAGTGCTTGCTTCTCTAACACAGTGTTATCAGTATCACAGATTACACTGCCATTCTTTTTCAATTGTATGGGAACTTGTTTTTCTGTGTTTGTTTCAAATGTCTGTGTTTTCATGTAAGAATCCTGTGGGGGATTTTTTTCTGCGCAGTGTAAAATGTAAAATTTCATTAACAGCAATGGAGTTGGAGTGGATCATGGCTTAGTTTTTGCACTGCGCTCCATCTCTCTCGTCTTCTTCCCTCAGCAGATGGCTCCACCACAGGAATGGGCTCAGAATCGACAAGTAAGAGCCCAGCAGCTTTCTTTTTGTCTTTCTTTCTATCTCTTCCTTCATGCTCTCTCTATCTTTTTTTTTTCCTTTTTCGTCCTGCAGTGTTTGCATTTCTGGCCATAGATGAGCCAGAGCCAGGAT